GAGGCCTCATAAGAGCATACGCCCCAGACATTCCCACAGACATGCTCCAGGTAGACAGAGTACACAGGGTGGCGAAGCCAAAGAACCTACCAGACTCCATACCGCGCGATGTCCTGCGCACTACTACCACATTAAAGAGCTGGTCCTCCGGTCCCACCGCAGTAAAGAAGACCCACACGAAGATTACCCATCTGTGCACATCATGGCGGTCATCTCGACGGCTACCCTCCGACGCAGAAGGGATTACAACCAAGTCACCACAGAACTCCGCAACCATGGTATTCGCTACAGGTGGGGCTTCCACACGAAGTTAATTCTCACCAAAAACGGGAAAACGACCTTCATCTCATCCCCAGAGGAAGGACTGATAACCTTTGAGAATTGGGGCCTACTGAAAGACCCTCAGGCAGAGGCACAGCCTAACTCCCGTCGTCCAGGTCGCAACACAGACATGAACTAAAATGACAACCTGAAAGCGAAAGGCATGCTTGACGCAAGTATCATGACTTAGCTATCTCTGCTTAGTTAGTTTAATGATTAAGACGTTATATGTTTATGTATGCAAGTTGCCTAAGCACCACCCTTGAAGAATGTTTTCCCTGCCTACATGCTTTTTTAACTACCTAATGCTACCATGGGCATATATGTGCAAACCCTGTGATGAAACCCTGAGACTATATAGAGCTCCTTCAGAGTTAGGCATATGGAGCCATAGAGTGTGCATAGGTTTATTGGACTCACTCTCACTCACTTTCCAGAACCCGGCACTAACTGCTTAGGCGTTACACTAAGTAAGGGGCGTGGGAATAAGTCACACGGGGGACACAAGACCTAGGGGACCTGTGAAGGCCACCTACCCAAACAAGTGATACTAAGATGAGAACTCCCCAATAAACATGGGAAAAGACACATTAGCCATTAAGGTAGCGAAGCACCCGATATGGTCAAATTAATAGCGTCAATTGATTAAGACACTCTATGTTTCTGTATGCAAGTTGCCTAAGCGCCACCCTTGAAGAACGCTTTACCTGTCTATATGGTTTTTTTTTAACTGCCTAACGCTAACTTGGGCATATAAGTGTAAACCCTAAGATGAAACCCTGTGACAATATAGAGCGCCTTCAGAACTAGGCATATGGAGCCATAGAGAGCTCATAGGCTTATTGGGCTCACTCTCACTCACTCTCCTGAACCTGGTACTACCCGCTTGGGCATTACACTATTAAAGGGGCGCAGGAATAAGTCACACGGGGGGGTAACAAGATCTAGGGGACATGTGAAGGCCACATACCCAAACAGGTGACACAAAGATGAGAACACCCTAATAAATATGGGAAAAGATACATTAGCCACTATGGTAGCAGAGCAACCGATTTGGCCAAATTAATAGCGTCAATTGCTGCAAAGTTACTTGCTTGCCTCTCCGGAAACAATGTTAAATGTTATGTTATAATGTTTTACCGTTTGCCCACTTGTCACACATGCTTTCAGCTCTACCTCAGTACCCAAACTGGAGCCCAACTAGCCACGCATTTGGATGCTCCAGCTCCTCAGCCCCACGGTACGACTAGCGTACCAGACCATACGGTCCTTGCAGTGGCGTACACATGACCCATGGGGCCCCGGTGCGAAAATTGATCCGTGGGCCGTCCCCCGCGCTTACTCGACGCGGGTCGCAACACATAGCTGCGACCCTGCTACTGCGGTATGCACACACACTTAAAGGACCACTACAGACACCCAGATCACATCAGCTCAATGAAGTGGTCTGGGTGCCAGGTCCCTCTAGTTTTCACACTGCAGCTGAAAACATAGCTATTTCAGAGAAACGGCTATGTTTCACTGAGGGTTAATCCAGCCTCTGGTGGCTGTCTCATTGACAGCCGCTAGCGGAGCTTCCGCGATTCTCACTGTGAAAATCACAGTGAGAAGACACTGAACGTCCATACGAAAGCATTGAGTAATGCTTTCCTATGGGCGGTTTAAATGCGAGCGCCTCTTGCCACGCATGTGCATTCGGAGCTGAGAGGTAGAGGGATTCCCAGCGCCAAGGGAGTCCGGCGCTGGAGAAAGGTAAATGCTGAAGACACACACACACACTCTCACTAACAGACGCATACACACTAGCTAACAGACACACACATTTACTGACAGAGACACACTCAGCGACAGACATATATACACACTCACTTACAAAACATACACTTTCACTGACAAACACACACTCACTAACAGACATCAAACACACTCAGTAACAGACACACACAATAACACTCACTGACACTCACTAGCAGACACACACCCAATAACAGACACACTGACACTCACTAGCAGACACACACCCAATAACAGACACACTCACTGACACTCACTAGCAGACACACACACTAACACAAACACACACTAACACAAACACACACTAACACAAACACACACACACTAACATACACACTAACACAAACACACTTACAATAACACACTTACACTAACACACTAACACACACAAACACACACACATTTTTAAAAAAATTTAATCCTCCCAGACTCCCTACCTTTTGGAGAGCTGAGGGGAGCACTCTCCCCTCTTCAGCTCCCTTGTGCGCCGCGTAGGGATGCCGGCACCGGAAGATGATGTCATCTTCCGGCTCCGGTATCAGTGCGGTGTGCGAGGGAGCTGAAGAGGGAGCTGAAGAGGAAGCACTCCCTCCCGCGCCTGCCCCCCCGCCGGGTGACACCAGGGCCAGCCTCGGGGGGCCCTGAGGTGACCGGCTCCTGGGACCCCCAGGAGAAGAGGCTAGCCCAGTGGGTACATACCGGGTTGCAGGGCCGGGCCTGGTCGCGACCCCTGCGACCCTGGTATGTACACCACTCGGTCCTTGTATATACCACCCAAACCATTAACGGACCCCACCTCCATACCCCCCAACACTGCTCCTTACCCTACTCCACCGACACAGTTAACACATAGACAAGCCAGCTTACATAGATAGGAAACCCGACAGTTCCCCCACATATCACAGCACGTCGCAACAAACATGGTTATCTACTCACACAATACTAAAGGCCTCAATACGCCACATAAAAGACGAATGCAACTAGATGACATAAAACGCACCAAAGCAGACATAGTCTGCATACAAGAAACGCACTTTATAACCAACCAAGTCCCTATCTTTGCCTACAGAGAATATCCTACACAATACCACGCAACACACACCAAATCCAGAGGAGTCTCCATACTACTACACAGCTCCCTAACTGTAGAAACTCTCCGGGTCAAAAAAGATAGCCAAGGACGATATATAATTCTACAATGCAGAATCAACAATAACCCAATCATTCTAGTGTGCCTCTACAGCCCAAATGACCAACAGCGCAACTTCCTACATTAAGTGCCAGAAGACACGAATGACCCCAAGATCCTCTGCGGAGACTATAACCGTACTATGGACTCGCGTATGGACTCGACCGCCCCAAGCACATCAGCCAGACATCTCAAACTGGGACCAAACAATAAAGCAGTCACAAAACTTAGACATGAAAATAGCCTATACAATGTCTGGAGGACAAGACACCCTTCCGAAAGGGACTACACGTTTTTTTCACAAGTACACAAAACCTATTCAAGAATAGACCAAATCCTTGCCTCAGGTACACTACTCCCACAAATAGAGGATTGCTCCATAGGCAACATAGTGTGGTCTGATCATGCCCTGCTAACGCTCACTTTACACTCCAACTATCAGCACCGAAGCAAACCACCATGTCGCCTCAACGACTCAATCCTATATGATAAACCAATCACAGCAAAATTGGCAAAGAGCCAGCAAAACTATTTCCTAACCAATGACAACTCAGAGGCCTCCCTCTTCTCCATCTGGCAGGCCCATAAAACAGTCTTAAGGGGCCAGCTGATCAGCCGAGCATCATACCTTAATCGTAAACGAGACAAAGAATACACAGACCTTCTTCGAAGGCTGAGAGACACCACAACAGCACATCTTCTGAACCCATCTGACACTCATGCAGAGGACATAAGAGACATCACCAAACAAATTAACGCACTAACACTTGAAAGAACAGCCCACATCCTTACCAAATTGAAATTAAGAACATATACTCAGGGCAAATAAAGCAGGGAAACACTTGGCCACCCTACTTAAACAACAACAGACCAACTCTAAAATCCCACATCTGATCACCACATCGGGTGAAAAAATCCATAATCCGCAAGACATCAACGACAATATGGCCGACTACTACCACTCCCTCTATAACCTTAGAACAGACCCTACACTACATCAACCAACCACAAGAGAAATAGATTACTTAAAACTGTGAAAAATCACCACACTCTCAACTGCACAATGATGATATCCTACTAACCTTAGAACAACCGCATATATCCCTGCCCAACTTCCACAAAATCCTCTCCCAATACAGCACCTGCTTATATTACAAGCTGAATATTTCCAAAACCCTTGCCCTGGGAATCAACATCCCAAGCCCAGACATGACAACCCTTCAGATCAATTTTAACTACGACTAGAGGCAGGACCACATTAAATTCTTAGGGGTCAACTTCACACCTTAAACAAACACACTGTTTAAAGCAAATTACACCAAGTTACTCACCGAAATTAAACCTTTACTACAAAGCTGGAGAGGGAAATATATATCTTGGACGGGCCGGATAGCATCAGTGAAAATGGTGATCCTACCAAAAATCCAATATTTATTCCGTCCACTCCCGCCCAAATCTCTAAAAGATACTTAACAGAATTGCAAAACATTATAAATGAATATGTATGGGACTACAAAAAACCAAGAGTGGCAAAATCTACGATGTACAGACCGCATGCCCAGGGAGGGATGGGCCTACCAGAGGTGAAGGGGTATTACAGAGCAGCTCACATTGCTCCACTCATCAAAGCATCACACCACTCATCAAAGCATCAAACTAGAGAGATGCCACGCTCCGGGACTCTCCCTCCCCACTCATGGCTACCGAAAAACCACAGACCAAAAGTATCAGAAATGCTGCCAACCACTACACTAACCCTCTCCATATGGGACAACTATCGCAAGAGGAGGGGAGCAAAAGCACCACTCTCGCCAGCGATCCCAATGTAGGCAATCCGACAGCTTATCCCAGACTTCAATCACAAACTCTGGCAGAGGCATGGTATAACTACAATATCGCAAGTAATGCAGGGAGACTGCCTCAAACAATTCCCAGATCTATGCATGGAATTCAAGTTACCCAGTACAGTGACCTTCTCTTACATCCAACTGCAATCATGGATAAATCTGCAAAAACCACAACAGACCGTAAAACCACCTGACCCACACTGGCTTAAATTAATAGAGATATGTACAAAAGCCAAACCAGCAACGAAACTTATCTCAATAATCTACGCCTCGGAACATACGGATACTCAAACTAACCCATCTTCCTTCAAATCGGCATGGGAACATGATATAGGACACGCACTCACAAGCGACCAATGGCAAGACATATTTCAAGCTAATAAAAAACTAACCCTCTGTACGACCCACATAGAACTCTCACGCAAACTACTTCACAGGTGGTACCTGGTCCCCACGAGACTCATACATAGCTACCCAAACACATCGGACGTATGCTGGAGGTGCCAAGAGAACCGAGGCACCTTACTACACATATGGTGGCAATGCCCACTACTGCAACAATACTGGTCACAAGTCCTAGACCTAGTGACACAATGCACCAAAGTGCACATCTCCCCCCTGCCAGAAAAGTTCCTGCTACTCCTATTCCCACAAATTCCACACATGCACATTAAATATTTACTATACCATATCTGTATAGCGGCCCTCACTCTCATAAGCAGAAAATGGAAACAGACAACCACTCCAACGATCAACCAGTGCATTACGGCTATAGAGTCAACCAAAACTTACGAAACTATGGCAAGGAAATCAAGGAAAACTCCTACTGGACAATCCTTAGACTGGATGATAAACCTCCATGATTGGAGGGAACAAACCGTACACACACTGGCTTACACCTACACCACACCCGACCACAACAGAATTTACCTGTACACCATTTAGCCCTCTGGCCTCCCTTCCCCCCCTACATATGAACACCACTAACAATACAGGCATCACTAGATCCCAGACCCAAGTCAGGCTCAGTCCGACAATGACGAACACCGCCCACAAACAAAATACAAGAGTTTAAGGCACCATTGAGAACAATGGTGTAAAAAACGTGCTGTATTACCTTGACGAGCTATTGTATTGAAACTGTGATAATTTATGTGATGTTACCCTACCCCTTTTTGCCTTCTGTACCCCCAACCTTTTAAACAACAAAATAAAAATTGTCAAATTCAAAATAAAAATATAGCATATATATATTCTTTAACATGTAGCATGCAGACCACAAAATTAATGAGGCTTTTGCTTCACCTCCATTTAGGCAAAAATAACTTGTGATAAATTCTTATTCTTCATTGCTCGGGTCCAACTATCAGTGATAATTTTGCTGAATTTCCTAGATGGACTTGATTGAGTTGAAGCATTATATTTTTATAAATACTTAAAGAGTTACTACAATCAAAAACAGGTTTTGTTTTTTTGGTTAGACCAGGCCTCCCCAAACTCCGGCCCTCCAGATGTTGCTGAACTACAACTATTTCATGCATAGAATCATGGGAGTTGTAGTTCAGCAACATCTGGAGGGCCTGAGTTTGGGGAAGCCTGGGTTAGAGTATCCCTTACTAGCATTCCCCCCCATCACCCCCAACAAATAAAAGTTATATTTTAATTATTCTTATTGGTTGTTCATGCCAAGGAAATATTTTCTTAGGTTAGGGTTGTGGAGTATGGACTGTTGTTGAGATTAAGGGCCAAAAACTTCCAGACCCTCCTTCCCCCCCCCACCCACCCCATGTCTTAAAGGACAGATACTGTCTATTGATTTTGAATTGCACATGGAAACCATACACTATGATTCATGTTGTGCAGTAGGGAAATCAGTTTATTAATTAAGGATTGAAAAAGAAATCTTAATGAAAGAACTGACTGACTTCCTGCACCATATGAATGCTTCACACTACAGTGTCCTATATTTCCCGTTTGAAAATTCATATGTATACCAGTGAAAAAATTGATCTGGCAACCCTTTTTGGGGAATTATACAATAATTCAGACACACATACTCACATGCACACAAACATGTACGCACATAAAGACACACACACAAGGATGAAAAATGATAGGGAGTTATTGTAAAGCAAACTTTAGATATAAGAAGACTCTGTTTGCCAGTAACTACCCTTATTTACAACGCTGAAAAATACTATTCTGCTTAAAAATACAGATATAATCCTACATATGCCAGGTGCGGATAAGCTACGGCCTCCTATACTATTAAAAGAAAATGGCATATCATATTCCACCAAACACCCGTACGTTTTATTTTGTGGCTGTTAAGGGAACGATATAGAACAATGAATTAAAGAAAGAATGAAAACTCTAATCTGAATGCTTTAGTGTTGCATTCTGGGCTGTAAAAAAAAAAGACAAAGCAATGGAAATATTTCTATCAAGGGATTGAACAGATAACAACAATAATAAAAAAAAAAAAGAGAAATGGTTTGTTATAATACACAGTTCTTGTTGTCATTGTTTATACATACAAAGCACCTGCGGTTATTATTTTTACAACACAAAGCTCAATAGAAAATATACTATCACAGGTAGCTTTTGAAAAGATTTTAAATGGACTCTGTCGAGGAAATGTCATTTTTTTATTAGGTGTCTTTAAATGTATTGTAGTTCTGTTCTTCAATAGTTTAGGAAGTCTAAATCATGTGTGTATACTCTTTTTTTCATAGAATTCAACAGTCTATAATTCCTGCTTCGAGGTTTAAATATGAATTTAAGGTTGCGTTTGATTATTTTTAATACATTTTAAGATAATTATGATAGGAATGGATTTATACAGTTGTTGTCAAAATGGAGTATATAAGTGCGCAATAACCCTCCCACCCCCCATTTTTGATTGAAGGGGGGCACTATTAATATGGAAAATATCTAAATGCAGCATTAAAATATGCATAAACCGATAATAGAAACCTATAGTATAGTTAAAGGTTCACTATAGGGTCAGGAACACAAACATGTATTCCTGACCCTATAGTGTTAACACCACCATCTAGCCCGCCTGGGCCTCTCATGCCTCCATAAATATTGCAAAATCTTACTGTATTCAAGCCAGAATCTATAGATCTGCATGCTGTTTACCTCAGAAAGAAAAATCAGTCTGCTGACATCATCAGAAGTGGTAGCCTGATCCAATCACAATGCTTCCCCATAGGATTAGATGAGACTGACAAAGAGACAGATCACGGGCAGAGCCAGCATGATTCAAACACATCAGCATCTCCTCATAGAGATGAATTGAATCAATGAATCTCTATGATGAAAGTTCAGTGTCTGCATGCAGAGGGAGGAGACACTGAATGTTTGGATGCATTTTAGGCAGCCATGACCCAGGAAGGATCTCTAACAGCCATCTGAGGAGTGGCCAGTGAAGTTATCACTAGGCTGTAATGTAAACACTGCATTTTCTCTGCAAAGACAGTGTTTACAGCAAAAAGCCTGAAGGGAATGTGTGACAGACCCATCTGTCTGGATTATAACTGCGTTGTTCGTCTGTTTTGCCGTTTTCATGAATTTCCCCGTTCGTATGCTTTGTTTAAGGGAATGTCGGTTTTGTCGAACGGAACTACCGAACGGACGGCCACCCAGAAGAGAAGTGTGCTGCTGGTTAACCTATTGATCCCAATTAGAACGTTGCGGTTAACCACAGACACTTCTCAATTAAAAACCGAATGCCGGGTGGTCGTCGTTCGTATGTCGACCACGAGGCGGCGGCCATTTTGTCCATGCGAACGACCAGCGGTGTTCAACGATTATTTTATGGATCGGAAAACGGACACTTTTTCAGCCGAACACCGCTGAAGCCGTCGACCTCCCCTTCTCAATCAACAAAAGCATGCGAACGACAGCCGTTCAGGAGATTCAACCACACGAATGGACTTAACCCAGATAGCCGTCCCATGGAGTCAATCGCATACCGAAGAACTGAAAGAGACTTTGACTCCATGGCGATTGAACTGTGCGAATGGGATCTGAGCGCTATTCTCCCATAATGTGCCCTCAGATCCAGGCTATCTGGGGATATGCAAGACTGATGTAAAATGTTCAGCAGTTATTAAGTTATGAATTTTTGTGTGTTTTTGTAACTTGTATCTAAAATGGCGATTGCCTCTGCTCGGGGAGATAATTTAATTACTTCCCAATTATTCCCCGAGCAGAGGGGAGGGAACTGTACTGCATGCTGGGAATATTGTGGGGATGTATGTCCAGAATGTCCCCATGTCCCTCTGTGATTTCAGTCTCCCATTTGGTCCCCTAGGGGAGTGTCCACCAAGTGGGAGACCTGCATAAATACCGGGCAGGTAGCCCACAGTAAAGCAGTTCGTGTTTTACCCTCAAAGCGGAGCTTGGTCTCGTTATTGGGGGGATTTGGTTACCGACGCTTAGAGACTGCTGATTGGAAATATTTGCCGCTTGGAAGGTATTAGCGTTCGGCTAATATTGGCAGTTCGTGGATTTGGAGCTCGTGGAGGGAAATAGCCGTACAGGTACCGTTCGGGAGTTTGGAGTGTTCCCCAGCGGGCGGTTCGCATGGTTTTACTATACCCGCTACCAGCCTACATTATTGCGAACGGGGAATACTCACTAAACGGCGGTTTGGATATTTCATTACTGAGGTACTGTAACAACTGGTGGCAAGCGACGGGATGATCCTCAGCGCCCAAAGAAACCACTACAACCAGGACTAAATGGAATTACAGTATCAAAACCTGAGGAGAGCTATCCTAAAGGATTTATTAGAGCAAAGAGGCGGACAAGCCAGTAACCTCAGGAAGAGGGATATTATTACATTATTGCTGGAAATGGATGGAGTACCAGCGGCAGAGGGAACCGATGGACCCCGCACAGCTGACAGAACCCCCGAGGAGGCAAGCTTCGACCGGGCGGTAAGGATCAGGCTGGCCCATTATGGTCCCAACCCAACTACTGAGACTGTCACCCAGGTCATAGCCGCTGTGGAGGCCAACCTGCTACGCCAAAGTGGTGCTGCAGCAGCCCCAGTCACAGCAAACCTGGGAGATAGGAAAAAGGTACCCTTTACAGCATTTAAAGCCTTCAATGAGACAGAAGGAGAAATTGATGGGTACCTTGCTGATTTTGAGCGGCAATGTGCCCTACACAAGGTACCCCT